CCATATTACTTCTCCTAAGATTTCTAGACCTTCCGGATTCAATGAAAATTTTATTTTGACCTAAAAATATTTTGAACTTACCTAACAACCTCTTCCAAGTTTAAATACTTTCGCAACTTAAACTTCACAATCAATTTGCCTCCCAATAGTTATTTCTACCGTTATAATCTATGTGGTTCATTCTTATGTCATTACATGTATTAGAATTACTAAATAATTATATCATTATATTAATATAAACATGTGGGGGTTGACACCAACAGAGGTTACAAAAGTTACAGTTTAGACTCAGAGTTACACAAAAAAAATGTATATCCTAAGTTCCAAAAGGTGGAGTAGACTCAATAATTGAAGTCTCAACAACAGGAATAGGAAGAGAGCTTGGAAGCTCGGCATCCAATGCTCCTGAAAGCTTAGTAGGTGAAGTGTCTGACAGACTAACAGCCGGGGTTGCTGGAAGAGAAGGGGTTGGAAGCTCGGTGATCGAAGGCCCAATAATTCTTGAAGCAGGGAGTGAGTTCAGGGCCAGAGCAATAGAAACAAGATCAGCTGAGAAGGGAGCAACCCCTGAGGCTACGGTAGAAGTCGCAGGGAGCTTGAAAGCCATTGGAACAGGGGAAATAACAAGGGAAGAAGCTATGGGCGCCTCAGCACCTTCAGAAGGTAAGGGGAACTAGTTGCTGGCCANTAAAGAAAGAATTTAAGAAGAAAATTCATCACTCTCCAAAAACTAGGGTTTTAAACAAAGAACAAGGAATTTCATGGGTATTCAACCCTAACTTGTGTAAAACATGATAATAATGGNAGCTTAGTAGGTGAAGTGTCTGACAGACTAACAGCCGGGGTTGCTGGAAGAGAAGGGGTTGGAAGCTCGGTGATCGAAGGCCCAATAATTCCTGAAGCAGGGAGTGAGTTCAGGGCCAGAGCAATAGAAACAAGATCAGCTGAGAAGGGAGCAACCCTTGAGGCTACGGTAGAAGTCGCAAGGAGCTCGAAAGCCATTGGAACAGGGGAAATAACAAGGGTAGAAGCTATGGGCGCCTCAGCACCTTCAGAAGGTAAGGGGAACTAGTTGCTGGCCACAACGCTGTTTTCCTCAACCTCCTCTTCATTAGGGATGTCAAAATCAAAATCTTGACCAGGGTATGTCTTTTCAGCCATGTCTTGGAAAGCAAGCCATCCAGTGACCCACTTAGTACTGACATCATCCCTCAATTTGGCTACGTCATCCTTCAACTCGACTATTAGATCATCTTTTTGATTAATGATAGTTTTCTTCTCCTCAAGCTCCTTGTGTATGATGTCGTTCACCTCGGACAAATTGTCATACTCTCTTGTCATGTTCTTAAAAGAGCGAAGGGCTTCATAGGTCTCCTCACAAGCTTTGACCCCAAGCATTATTCTTAAGCTCAAGCTCATCTCTGATCTTCCTCTCCTCCCTTTCCTTCTCAATTTCTAGACCGTGGATAATAGTAACTTCCTTCTCCACCTGCTCCTGAAGTTCCTGATTCTGAATACGAAGATCTTCATTGGCAAAAGACAATTCAGTGACTTTAAGCTCGTAAGCCTTCGTGACCTTAGCTGAGTCCTCCAGAGATTGGATTCTGCCCATCAAGCCTTTCACATGGAGAGCTAGCTAAGAGCAGGCAGCAAGAAATTAGAGGTCAACATCATTTATGAATGCATATACAAAAAAAGAAAGGGAGAGAAGTGGGAGAGTAGACATTTACAACAGTTGCTTTATGAAGAGTTGAGCTGATAGAAGTCTCAAGGGGCATGATGGAGGCTCTTTTAACATCAGATTCATGAATAATAGAGCTAATGGCCCCAAAAACAAGCTCAATATTGTCAAAGAAAGAGCCCTAGTCACTTTCCATTTTAGGGCTTTTCCCCTTCTTAATTCTGGAGCTCTCATGGCTTGACAAGGGAATCCTATCGGGTGATGCCAGAGAACTGGGAGTGGGAAGAACTCGAGTAATCGTCCCCAAGGCCCTATCAACCTCAAAAGAAGTAGGGGGAGGTCTACCCTTGCTCAAGGACCTCACTAGGGGCGAACGGAGATCTCCTAAGGGAAGAACCCTCTGTAGATTGTGGAGTGGATGAAGGCTGGATGATCAAGGGTGGAGTTGGAATGGTAGAGCTGGGGGTCACACTCTTTTTTGGCACTTTGGCTGGAGGAGTAGTTTCGCTACCAGAACCAACCTCAGCCTTGTGTTTACCACCGCTCCTGGCCTTCTTTAATTGATAAAGCTTAGCTTGGAGCTCTGCTGTGGAAGGCTTCATCATGGAAGGACCTAAAAACCAAGGACAGGTAAAAATATAAATAAACAAGGTACAAGAAGAAAGGGGAAGATCAGAGTTGGATAGGTCAGGGTATTACCAGCGGCCTCCTCTGCACTGACAACAGAAAGGGGAATCGGGGCTTCAATCGTAGTCTTTGGGAGACTGAATCCTTGCGCTACGAGAATCCAATGTTTGATGAGCTCAGAGTACCTCTCTGATTCACAACCTTTTAGGGACAACAAGACCTGCTCGTCATCAGCACTGAGTTCAGGGCGAACACCTAAAAAAAAAAAAAAGAATATAAGAAACAAAAAGAGATCAGCAAAGAAAAGCTACTGAAGCCGACCCTAGCTCACATATATTTGCACTTACCCAAGTTGTCAGGGGCTTTCTAAGCCCGAGGGACTAGAAGAGAATCTGAATTGTCCATAGGGTTGTATTCCCATTGATCACCCCCACGAAGAAGAAATTTTTCTCAAGCCTTTTTGAGAGCTTGGGAGGTCGGTGATGATTACTTTAGCTTTAACCCGTTTAGAGATATACAAGAAACCATAGGAAGAGGTATACGTAACATTAAAACACTCCATAACCAGGGAGACAGTGGGAACCCCAAGTTTATGCTTCTTAAAGAAAACAAGAAGACCCACCAGAATACTCCAGAAGTTAGGGGAGAACTGAGCAGGGAAGACGTTAAAATGCTGCAAAACGCTCTTGATAAATGGGTGCATAGGAAAGCGAAGACCATTCTCAAAGGCGGCCTTGAAAAAATAAACTTTTTTGTGGACTTGGGCAATGAATGAGGTAAATTTATCTGGACACCAGTATTGGACACCAGAAGGAAAGCTAAAACGAGCGCTAAGAACTTTCATAAGAGGAGGAGAGACCTCACTGAAGCTCACATGTTCTGCAGTTCTGAAAGTAGCACCTGCACCCTCAGCGTTGTCGGAGATACCAACTCTGCTAACTTTGGCCTTACCCTTGTTAGGATTTTTGGGAATGGGGGGTGGTAGATGAGGGAATTTCCTCAGCATTTCCCTCGGTATCAGCAGAATCAATACCGAGAAATTTATCAATCTCCTCACCCACATCACTTAAATCAGAATCTTCCTCAGCAGACCTGGTCCCTAGAAGGGAAACAGAACAGGGGGTAGCTCCAGAAGAAGCAGACATAGTTAGGGAAGAAAAAGGGAGTCTGAAAGTACGATAACGAGAAGGAATATTTACAGAACACTCTCTAAAAGTCAGGGGGTAACACAACAACTACCAATAAGAAAAACCCTAGCAGTTGAATAAGGGTCTAAAAAGAGAGGAATACGAGACATAGATCAACCTTGGTTCCAAAAGTAGCAGAATCAAAAAGTCCAAAAATACAGAAACCACCTCAGGCTTGAGGGATCCAGAACAAGGAGATGAACATAGAGTAAGAAGTGTACCTAAGTGAGGATCGACAGAAGACCAAGGCTTGAAATAAAAGCGAGGAGTGAACTTCGTTTAAAACCAGAGATTGAATTAGGGAAAATCGATTTCTCAACAAAACCCTAGGGACACCAGCAAAATTAAAAAATCTAAAATTGTAGGAAGAAGAGAGGGAAAAGCCTGGAGAGGGAGTTTAAAAGGCAAAATGAGCCATTTCCCTCAACTCAGGGGCATTTAAAGCTATCGTTAGAAAGTGGAGAACATGCACAAGAAACAATAAAAAAAATGATTACTGGTAATTGTCACAAACTTGTTTGCGCACAAACTGAGGTCAGCACGTGGAGGTCTACCCCCTAGTTAAGTGTTAGTTCATCCCTTACCCAAGTCAGCTTGGTCAAGAGATGAGAGACAACTGATGGTACATAGAGTAACTTCCAAAATGTGAGATGAGGCACGGAGGTCGAATAAGGAGGTCAGACAAGACATGCAGAGCTCAAAGGACCAAAGCTAGAGCTATTCCCAAACAAGACAGTAACGGAGGTGACGAGAGAACAACTGGGCGTTAAGAGGACCCCTAAAGATGGCAAAGAATCATATTCAGGGCGCAATACCCTCAACCACCCAAGATCTCTTTCTAAAATCAAGGAAAGTCCCGCAATTGAAGAACAAAGATCTCACTTCAAATCCCTTAGAGATACTAATTGTGCTATAAATACTGTACAGTGCCTCATTGATGGGGAGAGAGAAAAAAAAAACCTTAGTGGTGTAAGAGGCACACTGTAAACTCCATTCCTCATTATTAAAACAAAAAGAGCAAGAGCCTCTATTAAAAAGTGGATTAATCGAACTTTCAAGCTGATGAACCACTATATATTCACGGTGAGAATTATCCCAATCTCCAAAATTTCTTTATCACAATCTCCTCAAGCCCCGAAGCACTGACCCAAGTTGCCAACCATAAATTCATCCCTTCTACTCATTCAAGTTAATTTACACCATCAAATGCAATTAATCGAGATAAGTTGATAATTTTTATCGATAATTTGAATTTGAATTCAAATTTGTTGTCGTATTTTTTAAATTTTGATATATCTATATCTAATCCAAAAAAATATATGTTTTTATATAAATATTAAAAAATTGAGTAATAATTTGAAAACATTTGGTTAAAATTCAAATGTAACTTATTAAATTTAAGTTAAATAAAATTATTCAAATCAGATTGAATTTTAAATTATTAATAAATTTAAATATGAATCATAAAAATAAAATTTATCGGATAAGTCATCCTGGTATGCACACGTCTATGATGTAACGCCGCCACCACCACCACCACCACACCGTACACGTTACGAAGAGTAACGACCACCACACCGTACACGTTTCGAAGAGTAATTGTTCATTATCATCCATTCGTTTCCGGAGAGACCGAGAGGGAGGGGATATGGAGAAAGATACCTGCTTCATCATTGTCGTCTTACTCTGCATCTCTGCACTCTTCAAGCCCCTTTTCAATCTTATTTTCGTCTCTTCTTCCTCTTCTATTAACTACTTCAAGGAGCGGAAGAAGAAGAAGCTCCCTCCAGGACCCCCTAGCATTCCGGTGATAGGAAACCTCCTATGGCTGCTGAAGTCATTCTCCGAGATCGAACCAATACTCCGGGACCTCAGGGTCAAGTACGGCCCTCTCATCACCCTGGAGATTGGGTCTCGGCCGGCCATATTCGTGGCTAGCCACTCAATCGCTCATCAAGCCCTCATCCAGAATGGCGCCGTTTTCTCTGACCGCCCAAGGGCCCTGGCCACCAGCAAAATCATGAGCAGCAACCAGCACAACATCAGCTCAGCCGCCTACGGCTCCACCTGGCGCCTCCTCCGTCGCAACCTCACCTTTGAGATCCTCCACCCCTCCCGGGTCAAGTCCTACTCTCCCGCCCGTCGTTGGGTCCTTGGAATCCTAATTAATGGCCTCCTCAAATCTGCCCAATCGGAATCGGTGGTGAGGGTGGTTGACCATTTCCAGTACGCCATGTTCTGCCTGTTGGTCCTCATGTGCTTCGGTGACAAGCTCGATGAAAATCAAATCAAACGTGTTGAGACCGTACAACGCCGTTTGCTTTTGAGTTTCAACCGATTTAACATTCTCAACTTCTGGCCGAAACTGGGAAAGATTTTGTTTCGCAAACGATGGAAAGAGCTCTTGCAGCTGCGCCAGAACCAGGAGGACATATTGATCCCTCTTATCAAATCTCGAATAAGAGCAAAACAAGAGCAACATAGCGAAGAGAATGAGGGAAGTAAGGCTGATGGTGATGAGCAAGTGGAGGGCATGGTGGCGTACGTGGACACTCTGGTAAATCTGCAGCTGCCGGAAGAGAAGAGGAAGCTCAACGACGGGGAGATGGTGAGCCTGTGCAGTGAGTTTCTAAGTGCCGGCACTGACACCACGTCAACTGCTTTGCAGTGGATCATGGCCAATTTGGTGAAATACCCTCACGTTCAGGCCAAGCTCTACGGAGAGATCTCCAGCGTTGTGGGATCACCGCCAGCCCCACCATCCTCCAAAAAAGGGGAGGGAAAGGGAGAAGAGACGATGAGAACCGTGGAGGAGGAGGATCTGCAGAGGATGCCATACCTGAAAGCGGTGGTGTTGGAAGGTCTGAGGCGTCACCCACCGGGGCACTTCGTGCTTCCTCACTGTGTGACGGAGGAGGTCGAATTAGAGGGTTATGTGGTGCCAAAGAATGCCACAGTGAATTTCATGGTGGCCGAAATGGGTTGGGACTCAGAGGTGTGGGATGATCCCATGGGGTTCAAACCCGAGAGGTTCTTGACTGCTGCTGCCACTGCTATTGTCACTGATGAAATTCATGGCAAAAGCAGCAAGGACGGAGGAGGCGGGGAAGCAACAGCAACTTTAGATATAACGGGCAGCAGAGCCAGAGAGATCAAAATGATGCCATTTGGTGCGGGAAGGAGGATATGTCCTGCCTCTGGTTTGGCTTTGCTTCACTTGGAATATTTCGTGGCCAATTTGATTTGGTACTTTAAATGGGCGGCTGCTGGGGGAGAGGATGGCGACGACGTTGATCTATCAGAGAAGCAAGAGTTCACTGTCGTCATGAAACATCCACTTCAGGCTCGGATTACACCCAGAGACGAATGCTACGCCTAATACTTATATGAACACATAATACTTCATATATGTGTTCTTAAATATTGATCTACTCGTGTCCTATCCTATGTGTGATTATGATCTGTTGTTGTAATGTAACTTTAATTTTGGATTTTAACATGTATGGTGGTTTATATTATACAATACAAAAGTTAGGCCTACTTAATCTTTGCTTGCTCAGTTGCCATTATGCTTTAATTCTGGAATTGGTTGGTAGTTGGATTGGAAAGGTTTTTGCCATCCCGCCTTCTTTTTTCAACAGCTGCCCCCAACTGATCCTAGATTAAGGGTGTCAATTAATCGAGTCTGGTTTGGTCCCATTTGGGACATCTGACATCATAAAGAGTCTAATTATAAATGTAAACAATCATTTATTGCAATTTGAATTGATCCTACTTTTGACCTCAAGTAATAATGGCGTGACCTCAAGTTGGTGTGCCTGTGGCTAACAATGAGAAGGCTAACATTCAGTAGATTGTAGGATGCATCAATACTCAATAAGTCCTTCAGAAGAGATCTGAGAACATATAGCTGGCGAAAGAAGCCGACAAGAAGATGCCTGCATCCCAACAGGACATTAAGGTTTCAACTATTATCCCCGAAAATTCTAACATAGCTGTGATGAATCTTGGTATAATTATTACGTATAACAAGTATGAGTGCCTTATTGGGGATGGTGGTAATCTGGTGGTGGATATCAGTCTTGCACCTTCGAAGGTCCCACCTACCTGTGGAAAATTCAATAGGTACTGATAATGCTTTGGTCATGAACAAAAATCCCCAAAGGAAAAAGAAAAAAGTGAAGAAGAGAGCTCAGGAGCAAGGGAAAGTTAGGAAAGCTGAGGGCCTAAGACTCAGCAAGCTATTCTTTCTTGATGGTTAGTATTGCCCACTGGAGTATAAGAATTCTAAATGATACCTCTAAGCAAGAGGAAATAAAGAAACTAATTAGGGGATAGAACCTAGACCTAATTACTATAATTGAAACAAAAGTGAGGATGGTAAATAGTAGCAGAATTATGCAGTATATTTCCAAAAATTGGGATTTTTGTGATAACTACCGGAGAGATTCTTATGGGAGAATTTTGATAGGATGTAATCCTGATTCCCTCCTTGTTTCTAAACTGGCTGAGTCTTACCAGGTTGTTCACTACCACGTGTAACACTTGACCAGCCAGATTAGGTTTTTTGCTTCTATTGTCTATGCTTAAAATGATGGGATTGAAAGAAGAAGGCTATGGAATGATTTATCTACGCAAACTATTCTTCATGATAATGAACCTAGGATAATCATGGGGAATTTCATTGTTATTAGAAATCTTAATGAGTCCATAGGTTATTCTGGTCATTGGAGTCAAGATATGATGGAGTTTAAGGAGTTTATCCAAAGTGCTGAACTTATGGATCTCAGATTCTGTGGCTTATTCTATAAATGGAGCAACAATCGACTATGAGATAGATGCATTTTTAGGAAGCCAGATAGAACATTAATTAATGAAAGATGGGTTACAACTATACAACAAACTGAAGCAGAATTTTTACACTCTGGAGTTTCTGACCATTCCCTTAATGTTGTAAGGATTGGAGATCCAATGAGAATTAGGAACTCCCTTTTTAAGTTCTTCAACCACCACGCTAAAAGAGGAATTTTTTGGAGTTGGTCACTAATGTGTGGAATGAAGAGATCTCAGGGTCCTATTAGTTTAAAATTCGCAACAAACTGAAGAGACTAAAGAGTGTGTTCAGAGCCATAAGCAGAGAAAAGGGACCTATATTTGACTTGGTTAATAGGACAAAAGTTGAGCTAGATGCCTACCAAAGAAGAATTGACACCAAGCCTAGTGATCACAGTCTAAGAGAGGAAGGGAAACTGTTATTAGCAGAGTACTTAGCTGCCTCTAAAGTTGAGGAATTGTTTTACTAGCAGAAATCCAGGGTGCTATGGCTCAAAGAGGGGGACCAAAACACTAGCTACTTCAAATCTATGCTAAGAAAAAGGAACATGAAGAAAATTCTCTGAATTAGGAGACTGGATGGCTCAGTTGCAGAGGGAATACAAGATGTTAAGAGTGAAGTAGTGGAGTATTTTAAGGCCCTCTTGGGCCATCCCAACAATCTCCCTTCCAATTCCAATTCTGACAGAAGGTTATTCCTGAACAATATTATTCAAAGAAGAGTTTCTAATGTGCATGCTTTGGGCACGAATGAAAGGTTTACTGACGAGGAAATCAAAGCTGCTTTCTTCTCAATTAATAGCCATCAAGCTCTAGGTCCAGATGAATTTTATCCGTATTTCTTTAAGAAGGCTTGGCCTATTATAGGTAATGAAGTCATATCTGCTGTTAAAGAATTCTTTTCCCCAGGTAGATTGTTGAATGAATTGAANTGCAGAATATCCAGGGTCGGCATCAGCTGGCTTTGGGTGAGATCCCGTCAGCCAACCAAGCTTCCCTACACGGCCTAAGAAAAGCTGGAATGAGCGTGACCACTCAGCGAAGTTACGACCATTCAACAATTGTGCCGTAACTTTTTGAGAGATCATGCCACCGTTATTGCATTAGCTCCAAAGTGTCTTAATCTGTTTTCCATGAATGATTTTAGGCCCATATCTTGCTGTAACACAATGTATAAGGCTATATCCAAGCTTTCTGCATCCAGACTCAAATGTGTCCTACCTAAACTCATAAACAAGAATCAGGTTGCTTTTATTTCAAGTATAAGATTAAGTGATAACATCTTTTTTTCTCAAGAATTATTGAGAGACTATCATAGGAACATTGGATCTCCAGAATGTGCGGTCAAAGTGAAAAAGGCCTTTGACAATGTAAATTAGCAGTGTTCAATGGATGTTATGGAAGCATTCAATTTCCCTCCTACCTTTGGAAGATGGTTTGGCAATATATCTCTACCCTAATTTTTTCTGTTAATATTAACGGTGAGCTTGCGGGTTTCTTCCAAAGCTCTAAAGGACTCAGGCAGGGGAATCCCCTATCTCCATACTTGTTTGTCCTTGCAATGGAAGTTCTTAACCTTCTGATACAAAAAAAAATTGAGTGCAAAGAATTTAAATATCATTGGAGATGCAAGAAGGTTAAACTCACACAGCTTTCCTTTTCTGATGATCTACTGTTATTCTGGCATGGTGACTTGACTTCTGTTAATGTCCTTATGCAAGCTCTTGATCAATTCCATGTTATGTCTGGCTTGCATGTCAATCATTCAAAGAGTAATATTTTCATGTGTGGCATCCAAACTAATATGAAGGAGCAAATTATAAATTTGCTAGGATTTCTGAAGGGCAACTGCCAGTTACTTACTTGAGCATTCCATTGATATCTTCCAAAGTGAGGTCTATCCACTATAATGAATTTCTTGTTAGAAATGGAAAAGAGTGGGATCATGGTTTGATAGAGCTCTGTCCTATGTTGGCAGACTCCAACTGATCCAATCTGTTATCAGCAGTATACAGACTTACTAGACATCACACTTATATTTGCCAACATATTATTGATAAAATTGAGCAGTTAATGAGGAGGTTTCTTTGGAAAGGATCTATACAGTGGAGTTATGGTGCAAAAGTTTACTAGGAAAAGGTATGTTTGCCTAAGCAAGAGGGAGGTTTGGGTATTAGAAATTTCAAGATGTGTAATGAGGCATTGATGATGAGATATATATGGCTTCTCTTAACTGATAAACAAAATCTATGGGGTATGTGGATTCATTATTACTATCTAAGAGAGAGGAGCATATGGGATGTGAAGGCACCNATAAACAAAATCTATGGGGTATGTGGATTCATTATTACTATCTAAGAGAGAGGAGCCTATGGGATGTGAAGGCACCTACGACTTGTAGTTGGAATTGGCTTAATCTACTCAAGGATAGACATCTTATGAGACCTTTCTTGGTCCATATGATTGGGAATGCAAACAATACAAACTTATGGTTTGATAATAGGCATCCACTAGGGCCTCTTAATCTAATCAGCAAACTTGAGGAGATTCATGGGATTAAGGGGATGAGATATCGTAAGATGAAATCTATTATTTCCAACAATAGTTGGCTATATTCTGATTGGAACTCTCCTTCTACTCAAGCTATTATATACTCTCTGCCTTTCTACTTACCTAATCCCACCAAGGATGATATGGTGAAATGGTTACCTTCAGCTAATGCTAAATTCTCTGCCAATACTACTTGGGAGGTTATAAGGAGAAAGGGTTCTATTGTTAGTTGTTATAAACCGGTTTGGAATAACAAATCAGTCCCTAGATACAATTTCATTCTTTAGCTTGCCATTGCCTGTATGCTGAGCACCTTATACAAAATTCAATCCTCTACTACACACCTTGGTTACTCCATGTACTTTATGTGAAGTGGCAGAAGAGTCTCATCACCTCCTTTTCTTTGATTGCCCTTATTCAGCAAGAGTATGGAGCTCAATTCTTGCCTTGTCTGGTGTTACTATGCAGCCTAAACCTTGGGGTGAGTTTGTGGAATGAGCCGCTTCGAATTNTCTTTGATTGCCCTTATTCAGCAAGAGTATGGAGCTCAATTCTTGCCTTGTCTGGTATTACTATGCAGCCTAAACCTTGGGGTGAGTTTGTGGAATGAGCCGCTTCGAACTGGAGGGGCAAATCTATGGCAAAAATCTTACTGAGACTAAGTCTTGCTGCTTGTGTTTATCACCTCTGGATGGAGAAAAATAACAGGATATTCAGGGCCATAAGCAATTATGCTAATGTTGTTTCCAAGAATATCCATCTGGCTATCAAGAACAGAATGACTTCCATCAAGTTTAGACCTTCTAATACTAATCTGCAGCTGGCCCTTCATTGGGATTTGTTGCCTGAATGTTTTGTTTAATTGTGGAATGATTCATTTTGTTTCTTGATTGGGATTCACTTTGAAGTAAGTGTATGTGACACTCANATCAAGAACAGAATGACTTCCATCAAGTTTAGACCTTCTAATACTAATCTGCAGCTGGCCCTTCATTGGGATTTGTTGCCTGAATGTTTTGTTTAATTGTGGAATGATTCATTTTGTTTCTTGATTGGGATTCACTTGGAAGTAAGTGTATGTGACACTCACTTCCCCTTGAATTCTTTTTGTTAGGTGTTTTACTTTTGTTCTTGGGTATTCCTTTGCTTGTATTGGTTCACCTTTCCTTTTTGGTTGAATATAGTTACTTTTAGCTTCCAAAAAAAAAATATTAGATAATTAGAAATAATCGAAAAAGTTGCAGAAAT